TTAGGCCAGTATCACTGGGGCAGGAGAGAAGGTGCTGGATGGGGGATCCCCTCCATCCCTGTCCACTGCAGTCAGGTGGGTGCTACAGGTCTGCACTAGGGTTTGGGGGCCATCTTCTTCTTCTTTTTTAATTATTTTTATTTATTCAGAGAGAGAGAGGGACAAAAACATCACTGTGTGGTTGCCTCTCACATTCCCCCAACTGGGGATATGGCCTGCAACCCAGGCATGAACCCTGACTGGGAATCAAACTGGCTACCCTTTGGTTCACAGGCATGCACTCAATCCACGGGGCCAAACCAACCAGGGCTGGGGGCCAACTTCTTTTTTTTTTTTTTTTTTTAAGATTTTATTTATTTATCTTTAGAGGGGAAGGGAAGGAGAGAGGGAGAGAAACATCAATGTATGGTTGCCTTTCATGCGTCCCCTGCTGGGAATTGGTCTGCAAGGAACTGGTCTGCAACCCAGGCATGTGCCCTAACTGGGAATCGAACCTCAATTGTCTGGTTCGCAGGCCCGTGCTCAATCCACTGAGCTACACCAGCCAGGGCTCAACTTCTTAATCAACCCAGTCTCCTGGGGCCTTGACGACATCTTGGAGACACAGACCCCACCCCCAGCACCGACCTGGGGCCTCCATGCACAAGACTAAGCCGTGGGCCAGAGTAGGGCCTCCTTTGCTGCCAAGCTTCCCTGTCCCACTTCCCAAAGCCTGGGGAGGGGTGGTGGCCAGGAACATGGGGGGCAGGCTGGAGGCCCCCAGCACCCCTGCTGCTCTGTGCCCACCTGGTCTTGGCCAAGGGCCTGTTGCTGCCAAGAGATTCATGATGCCTCCCCCAGGCCCTGTAGAGGCCCCTGCAACCACCAGCCCTGTAAGTGCTGCCTTCCAGCTCATGATCTCAGGGGAAGGGGACCCAGGAGAACGCTGGTAGGTGCCTTCATCCATTTGCTTCTTTAAAAAAAATTTTTAATGTATTTTTAGAGAGAGGGGAAGGGAGGGAGAAAGAGAGGGAGAGAAATATCAATGTATGAGAGAAACATTGACTGGTTGCCTCTTAGCACACTCCCAAGCAGGAACCCAGCCTGTAACCCAGGCACATGCCCCAGCCAGGAATTGAGCCTGGGAATCCTTGGTCTGCAGGACAACGTCCAACCCACTGGGCCACACCAGTCAGGACCATCCATTTGTTTCTTGCTTCTGGTCTTGGCCTTGTGTCCCCAGGGACCCACAGGCCTGGGTCACTACCTTGACACTTGTTCCCACACAGAACCCCGTCCTCACTGTGGTCCCAGCGGTCAGAGGTCATCCAGCTATGGCAGCTGCCTCCATCCCTCACCCAGGCAACAAAGGGCCCAGCCCCCTCCTCACCTGCCTGTCCACCCCTCCCAGCCAGCTTCCCAAAGCCTGTCTGTTGCCTACTTCCCCCTACCTTGCTGGGAACTACAGAGTGAGGTGCGAAGTTGGGTGGGGCCATGGGCGCCTCCACAGCTTCCTGGAGGGCGCTGGGCCGGTCACCTGTGAGTAACACAGCCTCTACTTACTTTAGGCCGGACAGGGTGAGCTGGGCTCAGAACTGCCTTGCTGGGACTGGTCTGACCACTGCCTGCCTTGTGGGTGGGGAAAGCAGGAGGGACAAAGTGAATGTGTGGCCTTGGCTGCACCCCCACACTGATGCTGGCTCCAGAGAAGGTGGACACAGGTCCCGTCAGCAACTGTAACAGGGCTTTCACTAAATGCATTCATTCCTTAGGCAGGCTGGTCTGTGCCTGGCCCTTGACTCAGCCTACAGGTATGACTGGAGGTGGATGCAAAAGACCCCACCTCTGACCTCAAGGAGCTTCCAACCTGGAAAGGCAGACACAGTTAAACATGTGAAGAAGTTCTCTGAGGACACATGACAGAGGGCAGAGGAGATAGTCCACGTGCAGGGGAGAGAGTTCTGGGCAGAAAGAGCAGCGTGAGCAAAGGGCCTGTGGCAGATGGATACATGGCCTGGACAATGAGGATGAGGGGCTGAGGCTTGAAATGGAAAGGGTAGAGGCAAGACAGGGTAGGGTCTGGTAAATCAGGAGGAGTGTTCTGCCTCCACTGAACAAGAAATGAAAAGCTGATGGCACATCTTAATTGAACAGGGATAGGAGCAGATGTACACCGAGCAGAAATCACCATGTGGAGATGGGTGGGAGGAGTGGAAGGGTGATGGGTTCAGGGCAGAGTGTGAAAGCAAGTGGGCTGGAGGCTCCTGCTGCCTTGGTGAGAACTGGTGGGACTGTGGGTTCCACCACAGCATCAGTGGCTCACCTGTGCTTTAAGCTACCCTGCTTAAGGGTTTTGACCTGGCCTCCCTGTACCCCCATCCCGTCAGTCCCAGCTGGCTGGCCTACTGACTCAGGTGCTGCAGGTATAGGGGGCAGGAAGTCACAGAGGGCAGGGCTGGCTCCTCTGACAGGTCAAGCCTGTCTTCCTTGCCTCAGGCGGAGCTATCTGGGGAGCTCAGTCAGGCAGGAGCACCTGCCTGCCAAAGCACTGGCACAGGAAATAGGGTCATGGCACCAGCCCCACGGGCTGGCCACAACAGCTAGCACAGGCCTGACCCCAGGCCTTACAAAGAGAGCCAAGCTGGGGTCTGGGTCTGGAATGTAGAACATGGCCCCAGCTTGGCAGAGGGCCAGAGGCGGTGAGAGCTGGTTCAGGCACCTTTCCCGCTGCCATGGCACATGGGCCTGCTGCGGATAAGAGCTCTGACCCGGGTTCAATCTAGAGTCCAGATGTGGCCCCTAACCCCGAACCCAGGTTCCAGAAGATGCAGAATGATGGTGGTGCAGAGCGGATCACATACGGGAGGGGTCAGCCTCTGATAATTCCATCAGCTCTCCCAGTATTCCTGTAATTAGCTTGGAAATACTGGGGTGTGCTGGCTAGGAAAAGGGCAGCTTCAATAGTCCCCTGGTTCTCCCCACCAGTACACCAATCTAGACATCCAGGCACTGCCACTGGTCCAAATCAGTCCAGGTCCCTTGGATCTGCCTCTGTCACCCAAGCTGGGGATCCCCTTGGACCAAGCTGCGCCTTACACTCCTTAGCCCCTGACCTCAAAGAGGCTCCAGGTAACCAGCTCTAAAGGGAGGTAGTGTCTTGAAACTATATGAGGAAAGGATGGATAAACTGGGGAGCAGTCTGGAAGCTGCCCTTGGACCTCTGGGTGGGTGAGAGCATGGCCTGGGTCCAAGGCGCAAGATCAGGGCAGGGGATGGACCATTTAGGCAGGTGGGGTCACTCCGTCATGGAGAACTAGCTGCAGCAGTGAGCGGCTTCAGAGCCTGTCAGGAAGACCTACTCTTAGGATGAAGTCAGGCTGGTCTTCAGAGCAACCCCTCCCTCCTACAGCTTCTGAGGACAATCCTGAGGGCATTGGGGTCCAAGGGCAGAATTATAGAAACCGTCTGACCACAGCCACATGGTACTGACCGCAAACTCAAATGCTTCAGGAAACTGAGCCAGTAAAGCTGCTTCGTGTGAGACAACTGAAGTGGTGGGGACTGGGGTGACCTGTGAGCCTGACGCTTGGTCAAGGGAGGGGGCACTTGGCTCCAGCTGAGAGTTCCTGTTCAAAGCAGGCTGGGAAGTCCCATTTTAATGTGAAACCACCGGATTTTTAATGTTTGCAATGGCATCAAAGTTTTAAAAAGTCCCACACAGGCCAAATGAAACACAACTAAGTACCAACTCTGGACCAGGATCAGAGGTTTGTACATCATGCTCCACACTCACAAATACCAGGATGTGCATGGGGTGCATGGGGTGCAGGTGTGGGAGAGGCCACGAGGAGGTCGGAGCTGAGACAGTAAGTCTGGTAGGTAAGTGCTACACTGAACCCTGCTTAGCTCATTAGCAACTGGACGTGGAATCAGGAGGCTGTCCTGACTTCTGGAGGTTATCAAATCCTCCAAAGAATGCCTCCGCCCCACACACACAATGGTGTGGCCTAACTTCATGGCACAAGCCCTTGGGCCCACTGAGACTCAAGCTGGCCCAGGCAAAGGCCCTGGCTGCAGGCCAGGTTAGAAGAGGAGGGACGAGTGTCCCGGGCCCTCCAGAACTCAGGAGCTGAGCTGGGTCCCAAAGCTCTGAGGCATGCCTTTGACCACAAACATGGAGGGGGAGGAGGGCAGAGCCTTTTCCTGGAATCCTCCAAGGCAGGGGATTTTTGTGGACTAGTCCAGTCCCTGGCACTCGTCCCTCTGGCCCCTTCAAGGGCCACTGTCAGCTGCACCCAGGCCCCTCCCGCCCCATCCCAGTCCCCCACGGCCACATACACACTCTGGCTTTGGAGCTGTCTGTAACTGTGAAGCTGTCACTGACGTGGGAGAAGTGGTCCAGAGATGCTCACAGCCCTGAAAACTGATGGGCTAAAAGGAGCCCAGAATTCAGACTTGGCAGTATGAGTTTTGTATGAGGTAGGCCCTCAGAAAGGCTCGGTAGAGCCTGCCCAGCAGTTTTTGACATTGGGATTAGCTACCAACAATAGCACATTGAGAGATTTCACCTAAAAAAAAAAAAAATCCGGATTTCCAGTTTCTCTTGAAAAGTCCAAAGCTCCGGCAGGCTGAGGCAGGTCATGGGGGCTGAATCCTTACCTCAGCCCCCACTCCCTTCCTCTCCTGCTTTTCCAGGTCTGCACAAGCTCTGGGGTCTGCTCCGAGAATTTACGTCACCTGTCTCTGGTGTGTCACAAGCATCTGGGCTTGAGATTCCATCTTACTCAAATTTTTGCTTTCTACACGAAAATCAGGGACCTGCTCAGAGTCATAAGGCAAACAAGTGGTAGATCCACCTGGGAGGTGTGGGGTGAGGACCGGGATGTCCAGCCAAATGACCCAACAGCCGAGAGGTGAGGCGGCAGTCCCTCGGCCCTGCTCCGCCCTGACCAATAGGGAGCGACCCCGCCCTGCTGGCGGCCACAGCCCCTCCCCCTGCCTTAAAGGAACGACCCGCCTCCAGCGGGCTGACTCCGCAGCCCGCGGTGGGGGACGCGGACGCGGCTAGCTCGGGAACCAGGAGCCCTTTGGTCTGGCCAGCGGGGGAAGGACTGACGCTGCGGCCCACCCCGCCCGCTCCCGCCGCCCCTGTCCGGTGAGTGCTGGGCTGGGGGGCTGAGGACTGGAATTGAGGAGCACCACTGAGAAGGGTCATGCACATGCGCCGATCATGCGAGGAGAGCCCACCACCCCCCTCCTCCGCACACGCACACACATACACGCACTCAGAGTGGGCATGTGTCCTCAGCCCCGCACCATCACCTGGGTCGACCCGGACGCGGACAGTCCCGTGGCCCGGTGCGTGCGCTGGTATGTGTACATGGCTCACTGGCAGGCGGGCCCACGGAGCAGACAAAATAAACACCCCCCCCCCCACCCGCTTCCTCCTCCCACAGCCAGGCTCTCTGGCATGACCAGTTTTATGAATTAAACCCCTTTGAAGGAATGGCCACGCCATCATAGTCTTGGGTCACTTTTACCTCCTCAAGTGGGAGCAGTCTGGTTCTGGAGGCTCCCGTGTCCCTGTGCAGATTGGCTCCTTGGGGTCCTAAGGACCCTTGTCATTCAGGACGGAGCTGGGGTAGGGGGTGCACAGGCATGCAGGCCCTGGGGAGGTGTAATCAGGTGGCTGGAAGGTACTAATGAACCATTCCACTCCCCACCCCCACCCCTCCCATCCCTGGTCTCTACTGCCACACTTTAGACAGTGGCCCAAGTATTAGTGCACTTCATCTCTGTTTCTGCCAGAAGGGGCTTTGCTTGGGTTATGAACCCAACAGCCTTAAGCCAGCCTAGCCCTTTGTGTCCCAGGGCTGGCAGTGCTGGGGCCTGAGGGCTGCCAAGGTCCCCCTGTGGTCACTGGCAGATCAGCAGATTGGTGCCAACTATTCCTTAACCATTACCACACCAGGGTCACTGACCACTTCACCCCCTGGGGTCTAGGAATGGAGTCTGCAAAGTGGGAAGGATGTGGAGAAGAGACAACAGTCCCACTGTCCCCCTGCTTACCTTTTGCACCAAGGGCAGGGGAGGCTTTGGAGACAAACACCCGGGTCCAGTGCCCCCTCCCCAGGCCAAGAGCTACTGGAGCTGGGGGACAGGACTGAATCTCAGAGGTCCTCTCCCAGGGCATGAAGGGATGGCTGGGCCGGTACCCACTGAGTAGGGTCCATTCAGGCTGGTCCAGTAGGCAGTGAAGTCCATTTAGGACCCAACTGTTGGCAAGGCCCAACAGCACTAAGGCAAGCAGGGGTGGGGGGGATGGGAGAGCAGTCCCCTGAGTTTGCTGTCTTCTCCCTGGGGAATCAGGCCCCAGAGCTTCTGTAAACAGAGTGTCAGAGGCAGGAAGAGGGCTCTGGTAATGAGCAGCCCAGCTGGATTCTCTCCAGACCATTATCTGGCCTCTCTTGAGCCCAGGGAACGACCACAATGCTCATGCCAGGCTGGGGGCCTGGCATGACCTGTCCCCACCTCCCCGGCCTCGTGCGGCTGCACATTCAAACAGCTACGCTGGAACCTGTGGGTCCAGAGTCAGATGGGATCGGCAGGGGCTGGTGCTCCAGGGTATTTGCTGAAATGGCACTACTCTCTAGACTGGAAATGGGGGGGGGGGTCAACACGAGAAGACCCTCCGACATTTTCCAGACTCTGCTTCCACCAGGAAGGCCCTTCTGTCAGGCAGCACTGGGGCCAGGGAGATGCCCCGGGCAGGAGATGGGTTCACAGTTTCTGGCTCCCACTCCCCCACGAACAGCCCTGGGAGAGCTGGGACAAGTCCCAGGTAAAGACACTTGAGTCCTATGGGGGCTTATAAGTGGACCCCACCCCTGGCGTAGGCGGCTCCTGGGGACAGGCAAGTGGAGTCCAGCTGTGCCCAGAAGGCACTTCCACCTAGCAGGCCAGCCGGTCAGGATCCTCTGGTGGCCAGAGAGAAGGCTGGGTGAGCCTCTGCTCGCAGAAGCATCTCTCGGCAGGCCCTGAGCTCATGGGAGGGGCAGCGATGCCACCTAAATGGGTGAGACCCCTTCCAGCGCCCCCCTCAGCTCTCCTTAGCGTCTCCTCCCTGGGCTGGAAAGCCCAGGGCTCTGTCTGCACTGCCAAGAAACCCAGCTCCCCTCACTGCTGTGGAATTTGTGAGAGTTCTTGGAGAAGGGGGAGGGTATGAGTGAGAAGACAGCCCACTGGGCGTATTTCTGGCGTGGGCGTGTGTCTGTGTGCGCGTGACTGCAACAGGGCTATGTTTGGGGGCGGGTAGGGGTGCTGCGGGAGTCTGCATGCACCACGGGCGGGCGCGGGCTCAGCCTTCTTCCTTTTATCGGTTTCCACATTCCAGAGCCAGCCGGGTTGCTTTCCTTTAGCTGGCTGGGCCGCCCGGCTGGCCAGGCCTATAGGCCTCCCCCGCTTTTCCTCATTCCACTTTCCTGGGTATGAGGAGGCTGGAGCAGGCTCCTCTAGACCACCTCCGGTTTACGGGGTGGGGGCAGGAAAGGAGCAAGTTCTTCTCCAAGGTTGGGGAAGGCCCCCCCGCCAGTCTCCTCCAGGGAAATGCAATAAGGCTCTGACATTCCTCTGAGGCTGCCTGAGAGATTTAATTAAGGAGGGAGGAGAGAGCTGGCTAGCATTGAGAAGGGGCTGGGGCTGGGGCGGTCACTGGGGCCTGGCTAGGCAGCAGTGAAAAGTGAGAAGGGTAGGGCAGGGGCAGGGTGGTGGTCCCCCGTGTCAATCCCACCTGCCCACTGATCGGCTCACAGATCCCAGGAAGGGCCACTTCTGCCACAGGGTCCCCTAGATCCCTGGGCATGATGAGCATGAGAAGGGTGAGACCTCCTCTGGGGCCACTTCCTTCTTAGGCCCTGTGGAGGCCCCAGACAGCCTGGGCCCAGCTGACTCGGGGCTGGTGGCCTCCCCTGGTGACTAAGGCCTTCCCCTGGCAAATTCAGGGTTAATTGCAGGGTTAGGACCTTACTTGATGGGTGCGTGGCCCTGGGTGGAAACAGGGTGGTGAGGAGGCTGTGTCTGAGCCCAGCCCTGGTGGCATCACACCTGCACGTGCCGACAGTGGCATCTGGCCCAGCCCATTTCTATTTGGGCCGCAGCTACCACATAGCTCCCGGGGAAGCCAGCGTCCTCTCCCAACAAAGTGGCACCTCTCCCAACTGAGATGGCACATCCCACTGCCCCAGGGGCCCACTTGAGCCATGCACTGGCCTTAGTCACTGATCTTCCTGCCCTGGCTGACAGGTCTGGTGGCTCCCAAGTCACCCACAGTTGCCACAGAAGGTCCCCACCTGGGGCCTGGCAGAGTCCTGCTCGTCTCCTACGCTGCTCAGGGATATTCCCCTTACTGGGAGAAATAAGCTGATGTCCACACTGTCCCCTTTGCAGCCTCCTGTCCCAGGGTCTGAGACCTAGCTGGAGGGGAGACTCACCCAAGGAGCTTCTCCAAAACACAGCTCTGCCAGGCCTCAGGGACTTCCCAACACTGCCAGGGTGATCCCGATATGTAGCTGGGGTTGAGAAGCCCCTGGGGTTCCAGGTGGGAGATGGAAGCCCAGAAAGGGAAGGGAACTGGATGGGGCCACACACTGAGTTTCAGGGTCTTATCTGTAGAATGAGCAGAGCCAGGTGGAGTGGTGGATGGAGTGAGGGGGAGACACTGAGATGGGCAGGGCTCTAGCCCCCTCCTGGAGAGAGGCCATCTCTGAGGAACTCGAGGCTTTGCCGTCTGGGCCCCTTCCATGAGGGCCCAGGAGGGAGACACCAAACTCTCTGCCCTGCTGGGCAGGGGGCTGCTTTGTCCCAGGGATGGGGAGACAGGCGGACCCAACCTGGGCCCTGAGCCTCCTCAGACACGTCAGCGAAACTGGAGCCAGCTGTCCTGGCTGCCGGCATGGTCCCGCCTGTCTGAAGGGTTGGCAGCCTCCTGGGCTGGGCTGCTGCCAGGCCTGGCCGGCAGTGCTCAGCCCGGGCGGGCCAACACTGGGAGCCAGAGGCCTAGAGGCCCAGAGGCCCAGGGTCCCAGGGTCAGGCCTGTGGTACCAGACCCCTGCACACACTCTGCAGCATTGGGCAGAAGAGAGGGGTATGCTGGCTTGTGCTTCCTCCGGAACAGTGAGATACTCCAGCCTCAGATGTGATCAGTCACCCAAATGCCCAAGTTCCACCCACTTGCTGGCCCCTGCTTGACCCTGGGCTTTTGTGTGAGTGGGTGCCTCGTGTGTGTCCCACACTTGGGAGTGGGTGGTGGCACTCTGGGTCCCCCTGAGAGCCGAGATGATGGATGTCCTTACTCATAGCCCTCCCTGTGCTCTCTCCCCACCCTGAGGCCATATGCCGATGGGGGCTGCCCCCTCCAAAACTAAAGGCACCCCCATCAGGCCGCTCTCCTACGCCCATACGCAACGGTGCAGGCTGGGGGCCGTCTCTGCGTGGAAGCTTTACCCTCAGCCCAGGGTGCCTCCTATCTTTGCTTAAAGGGATGCAAAGCCCCTCGCACACCACGGCGCCCTCCCCTGAGTGTGGGGAAGGCAGTGCTCGGGTTTTAAGGATAACACCCTCCCTCAAGTAGCCAGTGTTGACGGACCACTCAGAATGTGCTCCAAGTACAAACTACTGGCCCCGAAAACCAGGCACTATTACTAGTCCCCTGACTTCACAGATGGGAACTAAGATGAAGGCCCATGGCCAGGCTGCCACAAAGCCAGACTGCAAACACAGGCAGTCAGATGACCCTAAAGCACAATCCCAGCAACTCTTTCTTGGAGTTTGGCAAGGCCAGCAGCAGAGCCCAGGCCTCTCTGCCTGCCACCGCTTTCCACCAAACCACAGCAGGGCCAGGCCAAGGCGAGGCTGTGTCGAATCCAGGTGGTGAACAGATGCCCTGGACCCTGTTGCCCTCTTTCCACTACCCCCCCCAAATGTCAGCACTGCCTCCAGAACTCTCCCCACACCCTTTGCAGAGAGAAAGGTCCCACCTCCCTGCCTTGGGTCAGTGGATCAGATATCAAAGCCCAGGCCCCTGGTCCTTCAGAGCTGCTGAAATTGTAACTGGCTGGGCAAGGGCAACTGTGGCCCACCCCCCACCACTACCTTGAGACATCCCCATCCCCAATGTGTGTGCACATGTGCACACACACACACACACACACACACCCCAGTGTGTACCCAGACACGCAAAATCGCTTCCAGAACTTGTTAGGAGAACTTCCCCCTTGAAAACAAAACAGAACACTGGGTACTCAGAACAACTCCGGAAGGTGAGGCAGGGCTGCTGAGGCCCACAGGTAGGAAGGGACTTGGGAAGCTATTTAGGGGCAGAACTTGGGTCCAAATTCAGGCTCAGTCTCCTACCACCAGATGGCTGTCGCCTGCCCCTCCAGTCAGTCTTGGCCCTCTGGGTCCCATCTGGGGGCTGTCTGATGTCTGATCTGCTCTTGGTGCCAGGCACGCCGTGGAGGAGCTCTCAGCCCCCACTTGTTTTCCAAAGCCCTGGTGCCAACTCTTTCCTGGGTAGTGGATCCAGGCTCAGGCAAGGCGCTCACCCCTGCCTCCTCGGGAGTGCAAAACAGATTAGCTGCTGGCTATCGGCGCCTCCCCAGCCCAGGATGCCAGTCACTCTTTTCCTGATGCAGCCTCTGCTCCCAGCCCCTCGGCGGGGTTGCTACTCTGGGTCCAGACTGACCCGTAGCAGTTGCTGCCTCCCTCTCCAGTGATGACTTTGCTGATTAAAGGGAGCAGAGGCCAGAGCCCAAGCTGCTCCCCTCCTCAGTGAAGAACAGAGAGTGCCCCCCAGCAGTCCCAGTCTTGGGAGGTGTCTACTCTGAATGCCCGGGGGGACAGTTGAAGAAAACCTAGGCGCTGAGAGAAGAAACCATTGTCCACACCTTACAGCTCTGAAACCCCTGGCCCAGGGTTGCCTGACTGGAGCACGAGCTCTTAATCATGATCTTATACAAGTCCTAGGGGAAGCCAACGTCATAGGGGTGGTCAGGCTGGCCACGTGTAGGGTCCCCTCCCGCCCTAAGCCTGGCTGCTCCCTTCCTGACCCCAGACTGTTCTACCAGGAGAGCTGATTCAGGGGGAGGTGGCTCACCCCCCGCGTGGATGAGGGAGTGGGGGACGCTCACAGCCCACATCTGGCGGCCAGGCCAAATCCGCTGACTTCTGAGTCAGTAAGGGTGGAACAAGTCCTCGCAGGGGAGGAGGCTGGGTGGGGTGCATGGAGCCCCTTGAGGTGGCGCTGGTAGGGGCAGGGGTGAATGAGACAGCCAGGAGCCCAGAGAGCAGGGGAGGGGACACTGGTTAGGGGTCAGGGAAGGCCTCCCTGGCTGGCCTCTGAAAGGTGGTCATCAGTGTTAACCAGTGAGGGGCAGAAGCCAATGCTCCCCCTTCCCCGGCAGTGGGGACCCTGCAAAGGGGCAGGGCATAGGTGAGCCCAAAGTGGGTGACAAGCCTTTACCTAGAACTGGCCTAAGACCACAGTGGCCTCACCAGTGACTTGTCTAGTCCATCCTGGGACCACCTGCCCCTGTCCCACCTCATATTCCAGGAGCCCACTTTCCTGGGGGGGGGGGACAACCCAATAGATGGCGGGGGTACCGAAGGCACTGTGTGAGGAGAGACATGTTACCTGCCTTGGCCTGAGAGCTTGCCAGCGCAGGGGAAGGGGAGGCCGAGTCCCAGCACAAAAGGCTCTTGTGTGAGCAGAGGGGCCTGGAAGGGAGGGGTGACAGCCTCCCTGGGGCTGTAAGGGCCTTGAGCATGGCGACTGCTGCTGGGGGTGTCCCTGGGTTTCCCCTAGAAGCCTGACTGAAGGAGGCCCATGCTGTGGCCCCATCCTGTCTTGAGCAGGCCAACCTACAAGCTGGCACCTGGAGCGGCTGGGGGAGCCACCCCCACCCTGGTAGGACGGGGCCCCACATCAGGCAGCAGGCCCAGCCACACCTGGACCTGCTTAAGGATCCAGGCTCTGGGTCAGATTTCACGGCAGTGCAGCGGCAGCACAGCACTGCACCTCCAGGAACCCCCTTTTTCTGTCTTCTGGGAGTGATGAGAACAGCTTACACCTGGAATGGCTTCTGGGGGGCTGTAAGAGGCGGCTGCGAGTGCTCAGCGGTGCCGGCACCTGGGCAGGGCTGGGGCTCTGCTGCAGTGCCCGGCCCACCGCAGAACCCACGAAACGTAGACGGAGGAACCTGGGCAGTGTCTCCAGGCCCGGCACTGCCTCTGGGGACACCATGTAGCCGACGTCTCCAGCTCGAGCCCTAGGTCAGCCGAAGGGGGCTTGGACCCCCTTACCTTAGTTCTAGTGCTGTGCCTGCTTGGGCTATGAGGACCATGGTTCCCTCCCTACACACCCCCTCCCGGGGGGACACCTGCCAATTGCTCCAGCCCCCCTGCTCCCTTCCCTAGGAACTTTGCCACTGGCCACATCCTGGCCAGCCTACGGCTCCTGTCCTGGGCAGGTCTGACTGCACAAGTGGAAAAACACTGATCCCATAGTTTCCATGTGAAGTCTCCCTGCTGCGGTCTCTCCTCACTTGGAGGATGTAGAGCGTGGCGGCAGGGCTGGCGGCCTGGGGCAGCCGGCTTCTCTGCTTACGCGCTGGGCTGACTGCCCACCAGTCTCTCCCAGAAGCTGTGAGGAGGGGCTGCTAATCCGCAAGCCACAGTTCTCCCTGCTTGCCTTCCACCTCAACAGAGATTTGGGGGTGGAGGGCTGGGGCAAGGGCACAGAGCCTGATGCTTCTAACCACATGTTCTCTCTGAGCCAGAGAGGTGGGAAGGCTGGGGTAAGGTAAAGGTGCCCTTCGTGGCCAGTGAATGTTTGGGGGGCCAGACCCTGTTCTGCGTGCATTAACCCACTGAGCCCTGGTGAACAGTACAGGAAATATCAACTGATAGCATGACAAGGTCATATGACTGTTTCAAGTCACACAGCAAGGGAGTGATGGAGCCAGGACAGGAACTGGGCCCAGGCACTGGAGACCTGACTCATAACTACCTTGTACCATTGCATTTGGGGGCAGGGAGTGGTAAAGGGGGCTTGGAATTCCCGTCTCCATCCTTCCTGGCATGACCATCTCCTGGGCTCCTGACTCACGGTCTCCTATCTTTCCTCTTTGCTCCCAGGGACCAAAAGATGCACTCCAGGGTCCCCCTGTTCCTATTGCTGCTGCTAGCCCCAGGGCCTGGGGTGCAGGGCTGCCCATCTGGCTGCCAGTGCAACCAGCCACACACGGTCTTCTGCACTGCCCGCCATGGGACCACGGTGCCCCGAGATGTGCCACCTGACACGGTGGGCTTATATGTCTTTGACAACGGCATCACCACGCTGGACACTGGCACCTTTGCCAGCCTGCCGAGCCTGCAGCTCCTGGACTTGTCACAGAATCAGATCACCAGCCTGCCCAGTGGGGTGTTCCAGCCACTCGCCAACCTCAGCAATCTGGACCTCACCTCTAACAGGCTGCGTGAGATCACCAACGAGACCTTCCGTGGCCTGCGGCGCCTGGAGCGCCTGTACCTGGGCAAGAACCGCATCTACCACATCCAGCCCGGTGCCTTTGATGCACTGGACCGCCTCCTGGAGCTCAAACTTCAAGACAATGAGCTTCGGGCACTGCCCCCGCTGCACCTCCCGAGCCTGCTGCTGTTGGACCTCAGCTATAACAGCCTCCTCGCCCTGGAGCCTGGCGCTCTGGACACCGCCAATGTGGAGGCGCTGCGGCTGGCTGGCCTGGGTCTGCAGCAACTGGACGAGGGGCTCTTCGGCCGCCTGCGCAACCTGCATGACCTGGATGTGTCGGACAACCAGCTGGAGCAAGTGCCCCCCGCAGTCCGGGGCCTCCAGGGGCTGACGCGCCTGCGGCTGGCTGGTAACACCCGCATCGCCCAGCTGCGGCCCGAGGACCTGGCTGGCCTGGCAGCCCTACAGGAGCTGGACCTGAGCAATTTGAGCCTGCAGGCCTTGCCGCACGAGCTCTCAGGCCTCTTCCCCCGTCTGCGGCTCCTGGCAGCTGCCCGCAACCCTTTCAACTGTGTGTGTTCCCTGAGCTGGTTCAGCCCTTGGGTGCGGGAGAACCGTGTGGCACTGGCCAGCCCGGAGGAGACACGCTGTCACTTCCCACCCAAGAACGCTGGCCAGATGCTCCTGGACCTTGACTACGCCGACTTCGGCTGCCCAGCCACCACCACTACAGCTACAGTGCCCACCACAAGGTCCTTGGCATGGGAACCCACACCCACATCTTCCAGCCCGGCCCCAACCTGGCAAAACCCCACGGAGCCTGCTGCCAAGTCCCCAAGCCTGCCACCTGCCACCCCGCCCACCATGGGGCCTGATCCCCAGACCCAGGACTGCCCGGCGTCCATCTGCCTCAACAGGGGCACCTGCTATCTCGGGGCTCGGGGCCACCTAGCCTGCCTGTGCCCTGAAGGCTTCACTGGTCTGTACTGCGAGAGCCCGGCGAGGCAGGGTCTGTGGCCCGCCCCCGCCCCGGCCACTCCGAGGCCTCCTGGGCCCCTGCCCCTCAGAATCGAGACAGTAAGCCCCACTTCTCTGAAGGTAGGGCTGCAGCGCTACCTACAGGGCAGCACCGTGCAGCTCAAGAGCCTCCGCCTCACCTACCGCAACCTGTCAGGCCCTGACAAACGGCCAGTGACACTGCGGCTGCCTGCCTCACTTGCTGAGTACACGGTCACTCAGCTTCGGCCCAATGCCACCTACTCCATCTGTGTCAGGCCCCTGGATGCTGGGTGGGTGCCTGAGGGTGAGGAGGCCTGTGGAGAAGCCCGCACAGCCCTACCTGTCCGCTCCAACCATGCCCCTGTCACACAGGCCCGAGAGGGCAACCTGCCGCTTCTCATCGCGCCTGCCCTGGCTGCCGTGCTCCTGGCCGTACTAGCTGTTGTAGGGGCAGCCTACTTCGTGCGGCGGGGGCGGGCCACAGCAGCTGCAGCTCAGGGCAAAGGGCAGGTGGGGCCTGGGCCCCTGGAGCTGGAGGGGGTTAAGGCCCCCTTAGAGCCGGGCCCCAAGGCAAGTGAGGGTGTTGGGGAGGCCCCACCTGGTGGGCCTGAGTGTGAGGTACCACTCATGGGCTACCCAGGGCCTGGGCTCCAAGGGCCCCTTCCCACTAAGCCCTACATCTAAGCGGGAAGGATGGACCACTGGGCTGAGTCCTCAGCCCTGCTGAGACTGGCCAGCACCCTCTTGCTGCCGGACCAAGAAGTTCTCAGATCCATATGATGAGGATGACACATCAGGGCAGGGGCTGTGTGACTATAGCCAAGTCCCTGCCCCTCTCTGGACCTCGGTCTCTTCATCTAAGATGCTGGGACCCAGGTGAAGACCTCTAAGGACCCCCAGAGCCCAAGTGCCTCTGAGGATGGCATATGCCCTTTCCTCTGCAGTGTGCAACCTCTGGGGCGGGACAGGGCAGGCAGGCTCCACCGTGTGCTGGTAACACAGGCCTAGGGCCGCCAGGCTCCCAGCTCGAGGAGACTCTGGGGGTCGATGAAGGAAGCCCCCAGAAAGAGACAGAGGGAGAGCAGGGGTAAGGATGGGTGTGCATCCCAGCCCTGACCCCAGGGAGTGAAGCAACAAAAGAAACTGGAAAGAAAGACGCTTTAGGAACAAGCTTTGCTTTTGTTTTTTAAAATATATTTATAAGAGATCCTTTCCCATTTATTCTGGGAAAATGTTTTTTCAAACTCAGAGACAAAGACTTTGGTTTTTGTAAGAAAAATGATGATATGAAGGCCTTTTATAAGAAAAATAAAAGATAAAATAAAACGAATGTTTTTCTGGCAGGGCTCCAGGGCCCTGGGAGGGAGGGGCTTCAGGGCGGGTGTAAAGGGACCACCCTCTCTGTGGGGAACTGAGGGTCCAGAACCCCACTCTCTCCAGCGGGCACCGCGACCTGGACAACATACCCTGGGCTTGGGCGGCTACTGCTGAGGGCCACGGTGAGAAGGGCGGCATTCCCACAAGGCCCGCCCTGGGGCTGTGTCCACCCAGCCCCTGCGTGGGCAGCCCTGCCTCCCAAGGCAGGAACAGGACAGAAGCTGGCGAGCTTCCAACCTCATGGGAGGACAGTTTGGACAGTCTTCGCCTACCCAGGCTCGAGAACTGCAGTGGTCCTGTAAGGGGCTCATGGCAGATACGTGCCAAGAGGGTCCCCAAGGGTCCACTCTCCGGAACGGGTCTGCCAGGCAGCCCACGCCTGCCTTCCTCTGTGGAGGGGGTGCCTCGAGCTGTGTCCCGCCAGGCCCTCGTGGATGACGGAGGACTAAGTGGCCTGCACGGCCCACCTGCCCTGCAGTCTCACTGCCCCTCTGCATGGGCTTTCTGTTCCAGCTACAGAGAAGGAGCCTTAGTTAAGGGCAGCACAGATCCTGAATGGCCAGAGCCCTCTGGTGAGTGGAGAGGCTGTTAGAGATTGGAGGCAGATGGCCCAGGAACAGGAGCAGAGATCTGAGTCTGGCCTGTGGGGACCTGGTAGCCCTGTGATGCGCCTTTACTCTCTGCAGTACAGATGTGTTTGATTTTCTGAAAACTGCAGAAGTAAGAGTGTTTTCCAGGAAGACCACAGGCAAGGGTAGGGGGCCAGGGAAGGTGCTGAGGGCTTGGGAACGGTGATGGATACAGGGTACCTTTACCCAGTACCTTTTATATGGAAGGGGAGGTGGGCCCTGGGGCTGCAAGGAGGCCCTGCAGATGCTGGAGTGCCTGAAGCCCCATGCCTGTGCCCCTCTGTGGGTCTCGGCCCCCGGCCCCTTGCCTCACCCTGGCAAAAAGGAGGCAGCTTGGTCAGGCCTGAGGAACAGGCCCTACAGCTTAGGGGTGTTGATGTCAGGGCCAAGTCAAGCCCTGCCACACAAGGCTCTGGATTCAATTAGTGGCTGCCGAGGGTTCTGGCATGAGAAGGGAGGAGGCGACCAGAGGGTTGTGGGGGCAGAAGGTGGTAGCAGTGTGCCTGGGTGGGGCCCCATGTTCCTGAGCCAGCAGCAGTGGCCCAGGTGGATTTCTTGCGGGCCTGGGTCTCATTACTGGAGCGGCCACACTGAACCAGCACCCCCCTCCCAACCTCGGCAGCCCAGTCAAAGGGGCCATTGTGGGCTCATGGGCCGCTGCTGAACACGGTGGCTGCTGAATAAATGTTTTCCCTGCAAAGCCAAACCTGGCCTCATGGGCCAGCAGAGAGTGGGTGGAACCTAAAGAAAGGAGGCTGGTGTGAGCCCTCCCCGAAAAGGCGTCTGGGGTGTCCCACTAGATCAGGAGCTGGGGGATGAAGGGAGGGCCAGCGGCTGAGTAGGGGAGCTAAGCCAAGGTGAGCCCCTACCCAGGGGGCTCCTGTGGCCCCAGGCCAGGACCAGGGATGGATGTGGAGGAATGCCAGCCCCCCATCTTTGGGTCCTTGCCACCCCAGGCCCTGTGCCACAAGGGCTCACACACATTCCCATTCCATACCCAACAACCTCTCTACAGGGAGACAGGCTGGGAGAGAGGAGACAGAAGCTTGCTCACAGCAGGCGGGGACGGGGTCCCAACACCTACTCCCTGGCCCGGGGGCACATTTCGAGCTGGGGGGGGTGCTTGGGTCTCCAGGAGAGGGGTGGGGCCACTGTCTGCAAAAGCTAGTCAGGCGAGGAGAGGACACCCAATCTCTAAGGAACATGCTAGGTGTGGGACCTGTGGACAAAAAGGGTGCTACATACTAAACCTGACAAACTCGGAGGAGGCCTACGTGGTGGGCCTTGCAAACTCAGAGGCCAAAAGTAACCACATAGGATAGTCTCAACGTAAAAATTCCTAGCCAAAAGCCAAGCATGACAGTTAGTCACATCCTGTCTTTTTGCATCTTCGATGACATACCTTCGGGATGTCACAGTAATCTCCTCTTCCAGATCCCTCAGGGCACCCCCACGGCCCTAGAGCAGAGACCACGGAACCTCACTGTCATCTTGTTCCCTGAATACCATCTCTGTGTGCTGTAAACGTTAACCACCCTGTACCCACTGATGCAAAACAAGTGTGCCTCTCCAGTTTGCTCTTTATCCGATCTCAAGAGATTTCCCGCTTTGCTTTCTCCAGCCTCCCTAGTTTACCACCAATTAATTCCACGTAACCCCTTACTTCTCCTTTGATTGTAACATATAAAATAAGCTGTAAAATTGCCATTCTCCAGAGCATTTTCTCAATCTGTTGAGATGTTTCTTCCCAGCAGTTGCCAGTTTGGCTCAAATAAACTCATAAAAATTCTCTACAAGTTTGGAGGTTTCCTAGCCAACAGACTCCATGTCTCTGGCCAACGGCTGGGCCATAGGTTGGGGGTCTGGCCAGAAGTGGACACCTCAGTGTCAACAAGCAAGCCCAGTCCCAGCCTCCACCACGTACAGGCTTGCTGCTGCCGTGATCTCAAGGGAGGACCAACTTATCTGGCTTCACTGCCTCTTCAGTAACAGGGGGGAAAACATCCCTACCTGCCTGCGGCTCAGGCAGCTGACCAGTCACCTACCCTGGAAGCACCGAAACTGAGACAGGTGGCATTCCCATGTCTCCTGGGTAGGGCACAAGCTGCTCCTTCAGCGCCAGGCCCTGCCAGAGCCCCTGTTGCCTCCACCCTCCACTGAGCAGGGAGCCTGGCACCCAGGAAGTGTGAGACAGGGATCTGTGGAACTGCCACCTGAGTCTGGCTTTGCAGACAGGACCTCGATGTCCTGCTCTTCCCATCATGACACGTCTCCTCTTAGTGAGGTGCATTCCACAAATGACAGGGATGACACAGAGGAAGGCTTAGGTGGGGCCGGAACAGCGGTCCCTGGGAGGGTGGGGCCCTAAGTTCTCCCTGGGAGAAGGGGAGGGCTGTGTGCTTGACCCCTGGTCTCCTCCAGCTCTTGTAAACACACGCTGTTCTGCCTAAATTAAGATGGAAAATATGTAAACAGAGAAGAAATTGAGGGGGTGCCATGGAGGCCTACGGCTGTGCCCATCAGTACACTTTTCATCTTTAGTCTAGTTCATTCAGCAGCTCCCACGCCCCAGGGGGCTATGGCAGGGCTCCGGTTTCCAGAGAGCCTGGTGGCAGGGGACCTGACACTTCTGAGGCCAACCTGGTGGCTGGCAGACATCCCTGTCGTCCACCACCTTTCTGGAGGAGGACTGGAGAGTCCTCACTCCTCTACCAAGAGTGTGGGCCCAGCGTGGAGACAGGGGCCAGGACTGGAGGATAGAGCGGGGAGGACCCTGGCCTGGCTGGCCCATCTGGGAGTGATTTGAGAAATTCCAGGCCTCACTGGCCCTACAAGGCTATTCTTAACTGCTATAATTACAGGGTCAGCCTTGGCCAGTGGCACTGTGGGGTCTGGGCATCAGTTAACTCCTCCAGGAGTCATGCTGGGGCTGGGTGGGTGAGGAATCCATCGCAGGCCAGGGGCGGAGTCTGAAAGGCAGGAAGTAGTAGGAGGGGAGCATTTGATGGTTAGTGCCGGTCCTTTCTCCCGATTGACCAGCTCCTTCTCTCTGCTGGGGGCCCTGTAGGGAAGGGGCTGTCTGGCCTGGGGAGGCATAAATATACCAGCACAGCATCTGTGCCTAGGAAGGGTGTGGAGCCAGAAGGCCAGAGAGCTCCAACTCCTCCAGTGCAGGGGGTTCCTACCTTGAATTCCTAGGGCCCAGAGTGGGCAGAAGCCTCACACTCCATAGTAGGAAGGCACTGGAGCTCCCTCAGCCTCACCTTCCTTATTTGCAAAATGAACCTCACCAGCTCCCCAGCCTCTGCCTGAGCCGTGCGAGAGAATGGGAGTGGAGGGCCACTGCCACCCAGACCACTACATCTTCTCTGGGCCCCCAGCCAGGGGACACCCTGCCAGTTCTTAGGCACTTAGCTTTCCCCACCCCCAGGTCTTTGCTGCTCCTGGGACTTGGGAGAGTTCATAGCACAATCTGTGACTCAGTTTTCCCAGTTGTGAAACAGATGAGGAAGTGGCTGAAATGACATCCAAGAACCAAGGCCCTCTCCTTGCTCTGACCTTTGCAGGCCCTCGCCTGGTGGTGGTGAGAGTCCCAACAAGCCCCCCGAGAGTCATACCTGAGCAGGGCTAAGGCTTTGTCCCCACCTCCTCCTGTCCCAGCTATGCCAGTCCCCCACCCTCCCAAGACTCTTTCCCTCAGCTGGGACATCGGGTCCATTTGGACTGAAATGACGAGTCACTTCTCAGCGCTCACTATGTGTCTCCTGGTTCCTGTGCAGCAGTGATGTTGGGCCATCTCTGCAGAGAGCCGGCTCAGCCCAGAGCCTCATAGACACTGGCACAAATCCTCCTACACACTTCCACGTAGGACGGAAAGGGGACCCCCCCCCACCAAGGACAAGGAGGGATGGACATGTGGCCAGGGCTGAGGAGGCCTCCTAGAGCCCATGAGTTCAAGGCCTGCCTGTCTGCTACTTGTGCCTCCAAAACTGCCAGCCCATCTGTCCCCATGTCACCCCACGCCCTCCCTGAGCCCACCTTGCTATCATAGCCTCGGGTCTCCTCAATCCTGAGCCCCACCAAAACGCCCACAGCAAAATGAAGTGCATTCTCAAACTGGCCATGAGTCTGCCGGGTCACAGTCGCCTCCCCAAATGTGAAAATACATCGTGACCAAGTGGCCACCTGGGATGGGTCAGCCGGGCTAGTCCACCTGTTCTGGGCGGCGTCACACTCTCTACAGCTCCGGGGGCTCCACAAGCAGGGCCAGGTCTGCCCAGCTCAGGCACCCCTGACTGCTCCTGCGATGGCCCACCCCTCTGACAGCACCTGAGCCAGGTAAAGCCCTTCTGGCAAGAAAGGGTGCCTGCGTTCTGCAGATGGCCCTGCCACGGCGCACCAGGGGCCCTTGGCAGTGGTGCCCATTCGCAGGGCTGGAATTGAGGCCATTCTGGGCCCTCGTCCCATCCCACCCCTAGCCCATCCCCACATGCTGGTTTCTCCTACCCAGGTGAGGTGTCGAGGGTGAGGGAGGTGAGGGCGCTGGAGAAATGCCGAGTGTCCCACAGCTTCACTTCACGTTCACGCATCTGTGGGGAGGGGGCAGAAAGGGGCTCAGAGGGGTCCAGAGGGCCTGTCTGTCGGCCCCCGGGGCTCCCCAGGAACCTAGTGCCCACAGACACAGCCTGGCACGGGGGCACCTGCCCCAGAACAGAGCTCGGAAAGCAGTGTGGTGGGGAAGCATGCCAGGAAGGGAGGAGATGCTGGGCTTCCATGTCCTGCCCCTCCGAGAACCTTTAGGTGACAAGGGACAAGGGGTGTTTCCTTCCATGGACTCTGATCCCTGGGTGAGATGGGGTTGTTGTGCTACAGTTCCCAGGGTCAGGCTTAGCTATTTCCAATGGAATCTGCCAGTTTTCAGCGGCAGCTGGTCCCCTGGGGCTCTGAGACCCGGCTGCACTCAGGGCAGCGCTCAGGGCCGTATATGGACAGGCCTGCAGCTAGCCTCCGGCCCCCGCCTCCCAGAGGGCCTCATCCCTACTCTTTTGGTATGGGGCCCTGCTCACCTTCGACAGGCCCTACCTGGTTGAATCCAGTGGACACAAGGTGCTCCTGGGTGCCTGTCCATGCCAGCCGGCCATCCTTGCTGTTCTCGTGGGCCTGTGTACTCTGCAGGAGGCAGAAGACATAGCTGAGCCACCTCAGGGCCTCTCGCCGGGGGGCTGGCTGGGGACGGGGAGGCCTCCTGTGGCTACAGGACGAACCTCGGCTGACGGCAGTGCTGCACCCACAGGCTGCCCTAACCACCCGGCTTGGGCTCAGTCTCCCTCCTTGTCAGGGAACTGTCAGGCCGTCTCGTTCACTACCAGGCCCCCCTGCTACAGCAACTGAGGGTGGTAGCAGGTCCTCACCCTGCAGGTGTCCTGGAGGCAGCATTCAGCTGCTGGTCACCATCCCCAGGCTCTGGGGATCTGTGCGCCCTCACAGAATTTCATTTTTCTCACTTGTGCATGGGGCTCATGTTGCCCCAGCTGCCTACTTTCCAGGGCTGTTGAAAGGATCAACTGAGACTATATGTGAGAGAAATGGGTCTGCTGCAAAGAGCTGTGCAAATCAAGGGATTACTAGAATTACTGCTGCCTCCTGACGCTGCCAGAGGGACGGGGGGGGGGGGGGGGGGGGGGCCTGGTGCCAAGGTCCCGGGAACAGCCTTGGAGAGGGCGGAGCATGCCCCTTTTGGCCCCTCCCATGGTACTGGAACTGCCAGCTGGAAGGCTTCCTGGGACCCAGGGAGGAGAGGCAAGTTCATACCACAGGCTACCCTGTCCCCTGGGCCCAGGCAGGGGGGAGTCCAGGAGGCCAGAGGAAATGCAA